TCCCCCTCAATTCTGGGCTGGCCTTCCGGCCAATAACACCTAGTGGAAATGACATTGGGGACACCCATAATGAGGTCATGAGAAGCCTCGTAGCTTCCCCTGGGTTTCCCAAAGCATCCCCGTCCTTGGAGCCCTCGCCCTGCTGGGAGCGGCCCACGCCACAGATACTGCAGGTAGGAGCTCCTGCCAACAGCCCCGGTGGGCTCCCAGACAGTCCACGTTAGCGTGAGCAAACCATCCTGGACACCCGACCCTGTCAAGCCTTCAGATGGCTCCAATCCCAGCAGCCCATCTGTCTGCAATCACAGAGAGACCCCAAGTGGGAGCCACCCGGCTGGTCCAGCCAACTCACAGATGAGTCTAAGGTTTGGGAAGATCTGTGATGCAGGGACACATGGTAGAACATTTCCCAGTGGGTTCCAGAGAGAGGCTGTGGAGGGTACATTGGCAGGCCCTGGGAGCTTGCCCCAAGAGCTGACCTCTAGATGGACCACACGCTGTGGCCATGATCACGGGCAGGGCAGGTGGTGACCTGGAGAGTGACCTGTGGACCCTGTGTGAATGGGCATGGGTCACGTCCGTGAACCCGCCGGTGAGCTCCCCAGTGAATCTGCATTTCCCTACCAACACCTTCTGGAGTCATTGCTACCAGGGAAGTGTGCCCCCAAAAAGACGTTCACATCCCAGAACCTGCGGATGTGCCCGCTGATCCCATAAAACCATGGCTAAATGGCTTGAACCATGATCACGAGGAAATTAAGAGCAAAGTGAAACCTGGACAAGATCCTTCTTGTGAACATTTTAAAACTCTATTAAACAGCTCTTGAATGATACGGGAAATAAAATCCAAAATTTCAGAATTTCCGAAAAACAATGATAATGAAAGCACTTCGTGTGAGGATCTATGAAATGTATTTAAAATAAGGCAGACAAGAAATTCTATAGTTTTTAATATTCATATCAGTGAAAAAAAAATGAGTGAATTAACTTCTCAACCAAAAGAGATAGGAAAGAGCAACAAAGGAAAGAACAAAGTAATCATAAATACGAAGGAAAGCACCCAAAACCAGAAAGCGGTCTGCAGGGCCCCCTGGCCCCGCTGCGGGAACCCCCTAGGGTCAGCTCTGTCCCACTCTGTGCACCGTCCACTCTGGGACAAGCTTATGCACGTCTCTGGTGAGGGGTGGGCACTGATCCCCCTCCTCTGCGGCCTGAGCCCACCCACCATCCCCGCACCCCTCCCCAGAGTGCAGGCTGAACCCCCCATCCTTCTAGCCTAGCTAAATCTGACACTGCCCCCTGCCCTGGGGCACTGACCACTGGGTCCTGGGCAGAGGCTGACACTGGCCTTTTAACTCCAGAGGGCGCCGGCATGGGCAGGTTACCCTTCTAGGAGCCACTGGCCAAGCAGGGAGCCGAGCTTCCAGACTCTACCAGGCAAGGACAGCCTCCACTCCTCACCTCCCCGGCCCTGCCCACACCTGCTCTGACCTCAGCCAGTGTCCTGACACAGGCCAGGAAGGAAGGCAGCTCAGGGGCCAAAGAGGCCAGGCCCCAGGCCCAGAGCCAGTGCCCGCCCACCCCACGCCCCCACCGCCAGGACCCCAGGAGCCCCGGGAGCTGTTCTGGCCAGGACAGTGTTCCCGGGAACAGCACGTCACTGGTCCCCAATCAATCAGGCAGCCAGTGGTTCCCAGGAAGGGTGTGGGACCCTGACCCCCTCTCCGGGGGCCTGTGAAGAGGGCTGCTGAACCCACATGGGCGTGTTTAAGAGCACGGGAGAGCCTGTCAGCCAGGGGCCCAGGGAGCCACCCGCCATCCCCACCCCACCCCGACTTGGACCTAAGTGTGACAGTTCCCGACCTGCAGGGGCGTGTCCTGGTCACGTGAGGCCGGCTCACGGCTCAGCAAGTTAATTATCTCAGAAGGGGGAAAACAGCAAAAATATTCAACCCCAAACACGAGATCTGCGGGACTGGTATCTTTTCTTCATGAAAATGCACAGTTCTGGGGCGCCTGGGTGGCTCAGTCGTTAAGCATCTGCCTTCGGCTCAGGTCACGATCCCAGGATCCTGGGATCGAGCCCCGCATCGGGCTCCCTGCTCAGCGGGAAGCCTGCTTCTCCCTCTCCCACTCCCCCTGCTCATGTTCCCTCTCTTGCTGTGTCTGTCAAATAAATAAAATCTTTAAAAAAAGAAAGAAAATGCACAGTTCTTCCAGAGGCCCCCACTCCTCCCTCTCTGAAACCCGCTCCCACCCACCCCTCCATCGACACCTGGGATGGGCCAGCGGACAGGGGCTGGTTCTCACGGGTCTGGGGTCCCTGGGGGTCTCCACTCGGCCATCCCCCCACCCGCTCCGTGTGACCATGATGGGGGCTGAGCTTGGTTCTTGTCATGAAGGGGTGTTTTATTTTTTTTATTTTATTTTTTTAAAGATTTTATTTATTTATTTGAGAGAGAGAGAGAAACAGCATGAGAGGGGAGAAGGTCAGAGGGAGAAGCAGGGTCCCCGCTGAGCCGGGAGCCCGATGTGGGACTCGATCCCAGGACCCCGGGATCATGACCTGAGCCGAAGGCAGTCGCTTAACCAACTCAGCCACCCAGGCGCCCCAAGGGGTGTGTTTTAGAGAAGACTCTTCCGACAGCCCCGAGAACTACAAGTAAAACCACCGTGTGTCAAGTCTTCATGTTGGGCGCAGGATCAAACCTGAAACACGCGTTGACGGTGTGCCAACTTCACACGGAAGCTGTGGAAAGCTGAGCTTTAGGAACAGACCCCCCAGACCAGGATCGGCGCTGGAGGCAGCAGTGCTGAGTGCTGGCCCAGGGCTCTGGTTTCCGGGCAGGCGTGGGGCGCTCCCGGCCCAGCAGGCTGTCCCCGGGGGAGCCCGAGGGAGAAAGAGCAGAGCCTCAGACCCGGGTCCCCTCTCCCTTATTTCTAGTCGTATTTCCGAAGCTCTGGGCTTTGGGGCTTTGCTGATCCTGCAGGGACTGCCCCTCCCAGAGATAGGGACCCGCTGCCTAGCAGCGTGCTTTTCAAAGGCAAAGCAGCCCACGCAGAGCCCACAGGCCCGCCGCACGCCAGGCCCACTGTCTCCTGCCCCAATCAGCCCAAGGCAGGTCTCACACAGCAGGGACAGCCCCTGAGTTGTTCAAACTGGCCTGGCCTCAGCCTGCTCGCCTGGCCTTGCCAAGTGCAACTAAAACCGCAGGAAAGGCTCCTCCCTCTGCCTCCTGACCAACCAGTGGCTTCCCGGCCGTGGTCCCCAGGGGCCTGCCCCTCCTGACAATCGTCCCCCGATGTGTTGGCCTCGCCATTCCAGGCAACAAGAACGCCCACGTTAAGATACACCCTCCCCACCGAGCCCTTTGGCAGGCTGGCCAGTGGCTTGGGTGTGGTGCTGCGATGCCCTGCAGAGGACACCCGGCCACCGGCCTGTAGGTCGCACACACAGTTCACATTTTTAGGCAAAGTGCAAAACTGCCGGGAGCTGGGGAGTCTGGGGAGTCGGCAACCTTAGCCTGGGCTCAGGCAGGCCACCTGTGTTATGGAAATGAGCTCGGAGCCATTTGACAAATACTAGGACCAAACAGGCAGGTTCCCTACATAATTTCTGACACTGAGTGGGTGAGCTCGGTGAGTCTCCAGCAACTACAGAATACAGTCCATGGAAAAGGAAATCCCTCATCAGGAACGTTTCAGGCCACGTGGCTCTGCAGAACAAAATTTGGAAAAGTATTTTAACCCCAAAGAATCTGTTGATGGCTGGGACCCCAGGGTCTGAGGCCGGCATGTGCACGGGAAGGGGGGGCCCTTGGGAAGAGGGACCAACCTCTGTGGACCCAGCCCCAAGCGAGGCACTGAGCTGTACACCAATGGCCAGTCCAAGAAGAGGGGAAACAGAGGCACAGGGGTGTTAGGTCCTTCTTTCACGGTCACACATCCAGAAAGGGTCAGGACATGCCCACAGCTCCTGCTTCCCACACATCTCTGCAACAAACCAAAGGACTCAGTGGAACCACCCAGAAGGTGTGGCCCAGCCTGGCTGGACGTGGGGTCCCCAGTCTACCGCTTCCTCCCCTCCAGGCACCGGGCGGGGGTAGGGGGCACTGGTGTGCAGGATGGGCTGAGGAGGAAGGCACGGGCCAGCCCACACTATCTGGACATCTCTGAGTTCATGCCTGTGAACCAGCAGCACACTCCTCCCATTTCCAGGGAACTGGCCCGGACACCCTCGGTCCAGCCAGCTGGGCCCCAGAGCACACGAAAGGATTTAGGGCCCGGGCGGGTGGTGAGTGCAGCTGCTCCAGCAGATCTCAGAGAGGCTCCCAACAGCAGGTGAGAAGACTCGGTGCCCCTCCACCCACCCACCTGCTCTGCTCAGGTGAGGAGGCACTTCCCCGGGGACGCTGGGGGCAGGCACTGGGACGTGGGGCTGGGGAAGCAGACTGCCGTGGCTGGCGCTCTGGGTCCCCATGTGGGTGAATGGGCAGGTGTACCTGCTCTGAGAGTGCGGATGGGGGCCATCCCAGCACACCATCCTCCCCAGATCCTTCCAGGCAGAGCGCCACCCCCACCGCTCCCCAGCACAGCCTGGCCTCCCCACCGCTTACCCCCGAGCACCCCTCAGGGCCTCCAGGGTGGGGGACTTAGCAGGAGTGGGGTCCAGGCCGTCCTGGTGGGAAGCCAGGTGCAGAGTCCCTGATGGAGGAGGCAGGAAGCCCCTCCATGTGAGGGCCACACGGGGGTCCCTTTGCCAGCAGAGACCTGTCCTGCCCATTGCTGACGTCTGCCACCGTGCAGGGCCCTGTAAATCTTAGGTGCGTTCCGTGGAGACCCTCTAGCCAGGAGGAGAGCAGGGCCCGGACCCGCCAGCGAGCATCACCTCCAGTCCCCTGCACTAGACGCGGCTTACTGCGGAGTCTAAGGCCTGGAGGGTCAGGCATGGGGCCAGGAAGGGAGGCCCCACCTGGGCTGGAGCCCCGCGAGCTGGGATGATGCCCCCTGCCCCCCACCACCTCCGATTCCCGCTGCCAGCACCCCCGCCCGCCGCCGAGCCAGCCAGGATGTTGGGGCTCTGGAGCACCTTCAGCAGTGTGTTCCTCTACCTCTCCCTGGCCGTGGGCCTCGCAGGGCTGCTGGGCAACGGGCTGGTCCTCTGGCACCTCGGCCTCCACATCGAGAACGGCCCCCTTCTCCGTCTCCGTCCTCCACCTGTCCACGGCAGACTTCGTGTTCCTCGGCCGCCAGGTGGGCCTCTCCATGGCGCAGGCCGCCCTGGGCCCCGGGACAGCGTCTACTTTGCCGTCACCTTCGTGGGCTTCCCCGTGGGGCTGTGGCTGCGGGCGGTTTTCAGCGCCGAGCGACTCTCACCCCTTCCCGACCTGCTACCAGGGCCGCCGCCCCAGACCCACCTCGGCACCGGCGGCGGCCTGATCTGGGCCCTGACGCCGCCGGCCCACGCCTGTGGCCGCTCACCCGCGGCGGCACCACGCGGCCAGCGTCACGTGGCTGCCGCCCGTGGCCTGCGTGGCCGGCGTGGCCCTCTTCGTCCGGGTGGGCAGCTACCACGGCGCCCGCCGGCCCAGTTCTTCGGCGTCTCTCTGGGCTCCGTGCCCCTGCTCTTCTGCCGGAGCCTGCGGCCCGTCCTCACCTTCCCGCTGCCCGCCCTCCTCCCGCGGGCCACGCTGCTGCCCGCCCGCGTCCACGGCAGCGCCAAGCGGCTCACCCACTTCAGGGCGGGCCGCTCTCCAGAGGTCCCGGGGGAGGAGGCCCGGCTGGAGGCCGGGGGCTGTCCCTGCCCATGGGCCTGCTGTAGGCGCCGCCCCCCACCCCGCCCGACCCCTCCCGGGTGACCCCCCAGCCCCAGCTCACCGGCCCAGGGTACCCAAGGGCTGAGGACAGAGGCAGGGCCGCGGTCCTGACCCCCTGCAGCGCCCCCGGCGCCCGCGGAGGTCAGGGAGGCCTGGGGGTGGGGAAGGAGGGAGGGGCGAGGAGCCGCGCCGGCCGCAGGCAGAGCCCGCCTCCCCAGCTCCGGCCTTCTCCCCGCCCTGCACCAGCTCAGGCCGCAGGCACCAAGGCGCACCTGGGGAAGCCGGGCTGAGGAGAGGTGGCCCCCCAAGGCCCACGAGGGGGGCTGGACGGATGGGAGCCCAGGCGCTGGCTGCGCCGGCGATGTCCGTGCGCCGCGCCCACTAGGGCAGTGCTGTTGACTTTCCCTTCGCGGGAGGGGCGTGGAACGGGCCGCGCCCCCGGCCCCCGGACGGCCGCGCCCCCGAGCCCTCAGCAGTTCCTCGGCGGCCGCCAGGTGGCGCTGCATCCTCACCAAGTTTGCGGCGCGGCGTGGGCTCGCTGCAGGGCGGGGGGGTGCAGCTGGAGGGCCGGAGGCGTCGGCCCTTCCGGCCCCACCCCCGACTGAGCGTCCCGGACATCCTGCCACCTGCAGGATGCTCTGGCCCGCAGCCCCCATCCTTACTCTCCCCACCTCCCCGGAAGCCTGTGCTCTTCCGCCCATTGCCCCATCCCTGCCCGCTCCCTGCAGACCCTGCCCTGCCCAATTCGCCTTGGGGCTTTCCTCGTGAAGGAAGCTCACAGGGAGGGACAGGGAGGAACAGGGAGGGACAGAGACAGGGACCAGGGTAGACCGGGAGGGACAGGGAGGAGGGAGGGAGGGAGGAACAGGAAGCCATGCTTTTTAGCTTTCAAAGTGCAAATCCTTTTATGTATTTTCTGACGATTTAAAAAAAAAAAAGAAGAAGAAGAAGAGATGCCCCACAGCCCCAGCCAATTGTTTGAGAGTCTGTGTGAGAACTGCTGAGATGCTCCCGGAGTCCTGTCCCTCAGAAACTGTATGAGCCTGTTAACAGAATTACCACAGGCTCTGTGAAGGTGACATAATTATTACCAATATTAAGCAATCAAGATCCGTGGCTACCTGAACTAAATGAAACAAAAACTGAGAGTGTGTGTATCTCTGAGTGGGAGGAAGGGACAGAGGGAGAATCCTAAGCAGGCTCCATACCCAGCATGGAGCTCAACGTAGACCTCCATCTCATGACCCTGAGATCATGACATGAGCGGAAATCAAGAGTAGGACCCTTACCTGACTGAGCCCCCCAGGTGCTGGTGCTGGATGCTTTTTGATAGTAAATGAGAGAAAACCCAAGAAAAAAATGTTCATTGTGCATTAAGTCATGTGTTACTCTTGGAATCGAGGACACATGGCCTTGACCCAATTAACATGGAAAATGAGCTTCTCTACATCACAACGGTACTCTGTCAGAACTGACATGCTATGTTGGACAATATGGCTGGATACAGTTTGAATTAAAAAAAAAAGAATAGGGGGCAGAATTTCAGCTCTAAGTACAGAGCCTTCCGATCAGACTTTACTCTGCCTACAAAGTCCCAGGAGGGCTCTCCACATGGGGAGACTTCCATGGTCTACAACTGCGAACGCCATCCTTACTGACCATGCTCAAGAATACCAATGGCTGAGAAGAAGCTGCAGAAACCTCTGGTATAACTCCCTGCCAGCCAGTCTTCCCTCTCACTGTGCAGGAGCTCCTATGAACTCTTTCAAGGACTCAATGAAATAACAGCTATACAACCGCTTTGTGAACGGTCATACACCAGGCAAATTTAACTTGTTCTGCCTTGTGGCAGGCCACCGCCAAGTGATCTCTGAAGGGCAAGATGAAACAAATTCTGTTTATATCACGATTTGCCTCCAGACAACTCTTGGGAATATTGTAAGCATCTGCACCTGTCACAACAAAGTCTTTTACAAGCACCAGGAGATCTGTTTTAGAAGTTGTCAATTTTTTCACCAGAAAAGTGCTGTGTTGCTCACTATGGGAACTTCAGGGGACATTAAGAAGAGGAAAGAAGAAGAATCACCACCCACAACCCAGAGGCGCCTGCTTTTGCAGGTTTTCCGTGCCTGGGGCGGGGGGGTGGGGAGGGAGGACAGGCTCTGGCCAAACCAAGCCCCCCCCCCCCGCCTGGTCTTCCCCAGACCATGCACACCCTTGATGCCAGCAGAGGGCGGCACGCACTGTCAGTCTGATGTGATGTGGGACCAGGAGCAAACGGCCAAGAAAGAATTCTTGAGACAATTTTGGTGCAAAAACTTGGTTTTATTAAAGCACGGGAGACAAGATCCCTGGGCAGGAACGGCTGCACTGGGGTTGGGAGGGGTGGCGATCTTATACTTTCAAGTTGGGAGGGGCAGAGATAAAAGACGTTTCCCAGAGGATTTTCATATGTTAAAGAAGACCCTCAGGATCCCGGAGGTCTGGCTATTGTCAGGCTAAGATGCTTTTTGCCTGTAGCAAAGCATTAGCGTTAGGCAGTTGGGAGTTCCTGGAGGACGGTCACTCTGCCTGTCTCCCGCGTTTGTCATTGGGCTGCAGGTTGTAAGGACATTTAATTTTATCTGCATTTCTTTTGCCTTTGTTCTCCTTGTCCAGTCTAAAGGCCGTCCTGCGGCTTGCGGAGGGTGGGTGAAGCGCCCCGAGCCCCGGGAGGTCGGCCAGGCTGCTTTGGGGGTGGAATGGGGTGGGGTGCATAGGGGCTGTCATTCTTGTGACCTTTCTTGGCAGACCCCAAAGAGGGGTGTGGCCTCCTTGGAAGGCCTAGGAATGGGATGAGCGTTAGGGGAGCAGTTTCAGAGTTGGGGTGCCCCAGGATCAGCCCCATCCTCCCCGCCCTAGGAAATAGCTGTGGGCCCCCTGTGGGGCCCTCCATCTGTATTCCGGCAGGGACAGGTGGCTAGCAGTGTCTGGGGCTCGTGATAAACAGCCCAGTCTAGACAGATGGGGAGCGTGGGAACCTCTGGCCAGGAACCTGCTGCTGCATTGTGGGGACACCAGCCTGAGCCCAAACAAGCCGGTGAGCGTCCTCGGTCCTGGAGGGACAGGGCTGTCACTGCACTGGGCTCCCATCCTGCTGGCACCTCTCTAGCTGGGTGACCTCCAGCAAGTCACCTGACAGCCCAGAGCCCCAGTCTGCAGAGGGGGCGGAGCAATGTCTCCTTCCAGATCTGATCCAGAGCAACAGAGGCAAGAGAGCTTGTCCTGGGGAAGGGCAACCCCGGGTGCTGTCTGCCTGTCCTGACCTTCAAGGCCAACTGTATCGCCTCCCAAATCCAGCAGAGCTCCAGATGTCCCCAGCCAGCCCTGACCTCGGCATCCCACCACGCCATGCCGCTCTTGGCATGTCCCAGCCAGCCGTCAGTGGGCACCGTGGTCTCTGATGTGCACCTGCCCTGGCTGAGCGCTCAAGGTGACCACCTGGTCCACAGAGACCCCACCTCCATCTCAATACCTCGTGTCCTGCATCCTTAGTTGCTCACCTGTCCTTGTCCCCGCAGCTCCCTAGACGGTGAGCTCTGGAAGGCAGGGAACAGGTGACTTTATCCACTGCGGCCTCCCCTGTGCTGGGGGCTCAGACAGACCGGAGGAGGGGCTCAAGGAGCATTTGTTGAACCATGGACAGGTAGAAGGGTGAATGACATGGTCAAAGAATCAATGATATGGATGAAGTGGGGTACTGAGCTGAATGGAATCAGACCCAGCTGATCCTGAGTTCTAGAACCTTCCCGGCCAGCCTGAGTACTGACCACTGACCCTAACCCTGAGCTGGATGTTGGTTACAGGGGGGCCCAGGCGGCTCCCTGCAGAGTCCAGCCACCCCAGCCCCTCAGCCCCCCTCAGCCACACTCTCCCCTTCCAGCCAACAGACATCGTTCAAGCCAACTCCGAGCTGGGCATTGGACAGGAACCCAAGACTTGGATGCACCATAGTGTGGCCCCTGGCCCCACGGAGTTTGGGGTCTGGAGAAAGGACAGACATAAACACTGGTCAAAGATAGCATGTGAGTGAGGGTGTGCACTTAAGTGTGCAGAGGCTTAGGGAGGTGCCCCAGTTTGCCCTTGACAATCCCAGTTCACCCACATTGCCCTGGTGCCTTTAGCATGTTCCTTTGTTCTCCCAAGTGTCCCCATGTGGATGACAAATCACCCGGTTGCCCTAGTGTCAGAGAGGCATGGAGGAGGGTCACATATCCCCACTCAGAAAGCAGGTGGGCTTCCAGGAGGAGGGGTATCTGTCTGAGCCTCACAGAGGTAGTGTGTGGGGTGAGGAGGAAAGGGCTGCCATGGGTGGAGGGAAGTCGGAGGCCAGAAACGTGCACCTGCTGTGAAGAAGAGAAAGATGGGGCCCTCCGTGGGAGGCTGCTAGCAGCCGGGCCCCAGGATGGGAACAGGCGTGTACCGGACAGGGGACAGAGGGCACCCGGGGCAAGTGGGCACAGGCACACGTGTCGCCTTCCTCCCAAGTCTGCCTTTCCTGTGGCTCATCTCGAATTACGTGTGGCTGGTCTGACACGGTGATCAAAGCTCCGTGGTTTCGTTTGGTTTGGTTTTCCCAAGCGGATATCCAGTCGTTCCAGCCACGTTTGTTGAAAAGATTTCCCTATTCTCATTGAACGACATTGGTGCTGTTAGTGTAAATCAGTCGGCCGTACAGGGCGGGTCTATCCCCGGACTCTGTTTCCCTGCTCTACTTGTCTGCCCTTCTGCCAGCACCACCGTGTCCATGACTGTGGCCTGGTCGTACGTCATAAAACCACGTGGCCCAAGTCCTACAACGCTCTGTTTCTTCCTCGAGACTTGCACTTCATGTGCATACGTTTTAGAATCGGCCTGACAATGTCTTCAAAAGTCTATGGAAAATTTTATTGAGATTGCAATGAATCTGTTCAATTATTCTCTAAAACTCATGGACAACGGGCATCTGAACAATAGGGAGTTTTCCAATTAACGTGCACAGTTTACCCCACACACCGTATTTT